AACGATAAATTATATATTAATAATAAATATACATTTTTCTTTTAGCACAACTCTGAGTTTCATGTACAACGAAATCTTCAGTTACATAATTTAAATTTTGTTTTTTATAATAGTGGAACGGTCCGTATTATTTGCGGGGATTAAAAAAATTCAATTGTATTTATAACTACAAAGGTAGAAATATAACTTAAATATAAATATACTCATCTAAGTAATTATAAAAATAATATAAAGGTGAACATGAATATCATGGCACATCTACATATGTAAACTAAATTTATATAAATATATATGTTCATATGAATAACCACATTTACAAAATATACCAAATTATGTTTGTATCTATTTACATATTACTATGTTCGATACAATATTCACATGCAATATATATATATATATAATTATTATTTATAAAAAAATTATAACATAAGTATGTTATAAAATCACTCCAAATATAGCCATTTTGTTTCAACACACTCTGTGTCTTATCAAGTGATGATGTTGAAAATATTTTCAACATCATCACTTGATAAGACACAGAGTGTGTTGAAACAAAATGGCTATTTTTGGAGTGATTTTATAACATACTTATGTTATAATTTTTTTATAAATAATATTTATATCTGCTCTACTTTGTATTGAGCACTCTTTTAAGAATAGTAATTGTTGGTTATTGGAATTCATTCCGTATATACCAATATATATATATATATATATATATATATATATACAAGATAAATATGTGAATGATTATAGCTTCCCATAAATCTTAATATATATACACACACACACGCACATATATATATATATATATATATATATATATAAACTTCAAATATATCTTCAATATATATATAACTTCAAATTCAATATATATATATATATATATATATATATATATATATAAACTTCAAACATTATTTTTAGTGGATACTCGTATACGGGTATCCACTAACAGACAAATATTTAGGCACTTTGTACATATCGTTATATACAAATGTTCCCGTAAAGAAATGCTTAAATTTAGAAAAAAACACATCTAACAAGAACAAAAATAATAGTAACTGTTCGCACATATGAGATTATAAAAATGTATCAGTTAATTATTAATCAATATTTTTTACCTTCAGTAATAATTTTTATAAACAAAATATTTAATTTACTGATAGGTTCTCTTCTTAGCGGTATTTTAGCTTGTTTCATTTTAGAACTTTTAGAAAGTGGTTTTGTAAAAAGTATTTCATCACAAAATGATTATTTTAGATATATAGATAATACTCTAATATTATCCACATGGCACAATTTTATCCGACATTTTAAATAAACTTAAAAGCGTTGAATCTATAATAGATTTTACCTTTGAAAGTGAAACTAATAAAGCATTACTCTTCCTAGATATCCTGCTAAATCGAACCAATTGTGACATGTTAAAAGTTTGCAGAAAATTTGCTACAAGACTGACAGCATAAACTAATCTGTATCAGAATGAAATCTAGAATAATTATAAGATTATAAAAGTATTAAGAAACTGCAGCTCTCAATATTTACCAGAAGGAGACATATGAGTTGAAAATATCATTTAAAACTCCAATATCATTACTATTTCATCCACAATGCTAAGATAATATATGTATATCATATTATATATATTAAGACAAAATTAAATTAAATCCAAATTAATCTTACAAGTAGAAAAAAGTTTTCTGTTTTCTGCGCTTACATGAAAAATTGGAAATTATCAGATTCAGTAAAAATTCATTATCAAATCAAAGAAATGAGTTGACGCTAAATGGTAAACACAGTTTACCTTACAATTTAAACTTTTGAATTTGATTATGCTTTTTCTCATGTTTTAATTGTACTGCGTTGCACCATATATGGCTTATTTTTCTATTTGTAAGATTAATTTGGATTTTATATAATTTGTGTATTAATCTCCTGGTAGTATTAGTAAAATCTTGTACGGATGTATTGGTATTTGGTTGGTATTTTTGACATTTTACATTGGTTAGTACTATTAACATATTATATGATGAATCTTTATTCAAAAGCTGCATATTAATTTACCAAATAATTCTATATGTTTAAATTATTTACTAGTTTCTTAAAGAAGTTAACTATAAATAATTTTTATGTAGATAATTCACAAAGCATATAACTTGTTTAGTATTTTATTAAATTACCTCTCCACTCCATTTTTATTTCTTAGGAAACGGCATTGTCTAGTTTGCATAAGATGCAGGCTTTAGTTTATTGTCTGGCTGCCGTTAGCTGCCAATCTACGGGTCATGACCCATTTATAATAAATAATTATTAATTGTGCCCGGCTTAGCTTAAATTTAACGTAGGTAATATTTGATTGATTTATCAGAGTAAATCTCACAAACCATATAACCCCACTTTTTTTTCATAAAAAGAGGTTATATTTTGTTTTTAAATCTAAATAAATTGTTCACTCACCAGTAATTTAAAATCGCCTGATGAGATACATTGATACGCATCTAAACACGACTGCAACTTTGTAGTCATTTTGACATGTTTTCGGTGTAATATCCTAAGATATATATATATATATATATATATATATATATATATATGTGTGTGTGTGTGTGTGTGTGTTTGTGAAAATGTAAGATATAACTAAAAATATGGCTGTAAAAGAACAGCATTCATATATGTAAAATTTAAGATATAACTAAAATATATCTGTTTTTTAGGATCATCGAGTCATTGTAAACTCCACAATCCTTTTATTAGCTGCAAAGTATGTGCTTCGCTAGAGCTACATACGGTTTTTGAATTCGGAATTCTTCTTCTCTTAGACTGCTTGCCACCCAGTCTGCCCAACTATTTACCCAAACTTGGAGATTTCGACTTCACAGTTGTCCTTCTCCTAGGCTGGTTATCACCCAAGGCTATAGGACTCAATCTACCCTGATATTAACTATCTGTAAAAGAACAATATTCACACACACGCGCACACACACACACACACACACACACACACACACACACACACACACACATATATATATATATATATATATATATATATATATAAGGTATAATATAACGAAAAAGTACAGGATCCCTAATAAAGATAAAAGCCAAGAAAGTAAAGATCAACAATATAAAAAATGAAAACAAGAAAATAAATGTAAAAATAAATAAAGATAAAACAAGCGGAAAAAATAGATACATTGATTCAAAACGATAAATATTTTTATTTTACTTAAATAAAATTTCTTTTTTTACCAATCGGTAGCTGATATCCTGGATAATAGTTGAATGCCATTCTGGACTAGGAATATTTGTTTTATCCGGTTGACGCTTTACGTTAACATTATATTTTGTTTGTGTTACTGCTTGCAGGCCTTTGGGGGAAAGGTGATTAATCTGGTTTCAGTATGAAAGGATTGGAAGCTGGGAAGGGACAAAATTGAATGAGCGAAGTAAAAGCCTCGACATGGCACTTGTGATCTAATAAAACCGACATTAAAAGGCTTGAATCGTTCTGAAGTTTCAAATCATTTAAAATATTCATATAGTTAAGAATGCAAGAGCATTTGAAATGGTCCCACAGGAATAAAAAAATAGATTCAGACATACTGGAACTATCGTTAGAAACTATTTACTCACATTCACACGTAGAGATCGTTCGGCTTCCGTACACTTAAAAACGTGTACGTAAACACTCAGTCGCAAGCTGCTATACAGTCGTCTGCAAATCTGTGACACACTTGAGCTTTTTCTGCAGATCAATTGTTAGTATGATGGCCACTGCTAGTAAGATTGGTGTAAACTTAGTAAATATAAAAGACTAAATATTTTTTACAATCATGTTCCCCCTGTACAAGACCCGGAAGCCACTTGATGTAAAGGGTTACAGAGTATGGGCCACAGTTTATGGGGATATGTGAAGAAGATAACGGTTAACCCGAAATTTGAAGTCGGTTCCACAAAACATCGGTTCGTAGGAAGTAGCTTCACGAGGTTAGAAATGTCGGAACTAAAGAATGTAGTTCGTCTGATCACTTTCCATAGAAATAGCGATAGATCAGCCACAGGCTTGCGACCTTTCGTCTGGAGGAAAGGTGTTGTAGGGTGAAAAGTAATTCATCACCCCAAAGGAAACGGAGACGCTTTTTGACTATCGAGACTGGAAAGAGAAAACTGGCCAGGTTCTTCCCATATATGGTAGAGGTACTCCATTTTTGGCTTGATCTGGCTCTTGTAAAAGTAGAAAATAGTAGGAAGAATCGAGTTCCACTTGAGGTCTGGGTTGAGTTTAAGCCCCAAAGAGCGCTTAAAACACAGGAACACATTAAGAGAACACACGGTCATCGCGATAGGTGAAAATTCAGAGTCTGCATGGTGATGATGGAACGTCGCTAGTTTGGCTTTTGACTGATTGAATATGATCAGCCAGTTTTCCTCCCATTGAGTTATTAGAGCTAAGTCAGAAGAGAGCCAAGCTTTTGTCATGAAGTATTTTGGGAGTGCAGCCATATATCGTTGTATTATCAGCATAGATATCCATAAATGATCGGAGTATACTCTTAGGCAGATCATTTATGCAAAATAGAAAGAGGGTTTGACCAAGAAGCGAGCCCTGGTGGACGCCTGAATTGATCGCTTGGGTCCCGGAGGAGTGGCCGTTAACAACTATTAACTGTACAACAAGAGAATTTATAGTCAGCAGCAAGATTGACAGCCAATGGTCTAAATTCCGAATTGGAGACATCAGCATTAGGAAAATACAGAATGTTAACAAATGATGGAAAATGTGACACTGAAATCCGAAGATACATTTCAGTAGCGAAGGATGCCTTTCAAAATTAAATAGAATATTAAGAATCAGGATCATTTCGTTAGAAACTAATAAAAGGGTATTTAACTGCTATGTAATATCTATCCTACTGTATGGCAGTAAATGCTGGAAAATTTCATCACAAATAAAAATGACAGAGACGTGGCTCTGCAAAAGGATAAGAACTATATCAGAGAGAGAGAGAGAGAGAGAGAGAGAGAGAGAGAGAGAGAGGGAGAGGCAGAGGGAGAGAGAGAGAGGGAGAGGGAGAGAGAGAGAGCAAGCATTGGAGTAACGAAGAAGTTTTAAAGACACTCAGGAAGAGAGAGAGTTGAAATTTCTGAGACACGTAATAAAAAAGAAGATTTGGAAAATATTCATAGCGCATATTGAAGGCGAGATGGATATCGAATAACCTACTAAATGAATTTATGTAAGTAGATGTCGTTGAAGGGCCTGAGTGTGATGATAAAAGAGTAATTGTTGCTTAGAGATATAAAAGTTGTGATGAGTCATGTTTGCCCGCGTTCTAAAGGGACACGGCACTTAAACGAATAGGAAAGATGGAAAAGAGAATGTGCCGTATCATTGTTTATTTATCCTGAACTGCGTATGTAACTTATATATTTTTATTATGAAAATTTAATACTTTATATCTGATAATTTCTTTATATATTCAGCACAAGTAAATGATTTTACACAATCATATGGTTTTATAAAAGGATAAATGGCGTAGGGACGTAAAAACATTAAAATGTCTCGCTGCCTCTTAATTTCCTGCTTGTTGGAATTTCTCATCTCTTGTTTCAGCCTTTAAGAGCTTAGGTGAACCGTCCGACACTCCCAACTCTCAGCCTATTAGACTTCTACCTTTTTTAGCAAACTACTAGAAGCCCTATCAAATGCTAAATTAGTTAGCATCTCACAATGCAGGGCCTTCTTTTAGACAAGCAATATGGATTTCATTTTTCTAGGTCAACTGTCGATATATTAAGGATTATTGCAGATAGAGTCTATCAAGCTTTAGGTAAGAATGGTGAAACTCAAGCTGATGCTTTGGAGACCACAGAAGCGTTCGACAGGGTTTGGCATACCGGTCTTCTTCATAAGCTGAAACGTTTTGAATTGATTCAGCCTTTTTTTCAAATGAAACTCTTTTAGATTCTTTTGTACTAATGAAGTGTACCAAATGGCTCTATTCTTGGTCCTACTTTGTTTTTAATTTTTATTAAGGACCTTTCTGAAGACATGAGCTCTCAAATTGGTATCTATATTAATGCCACAATCATTTACTTCTGTCTCGATACTAAGTCTGATCAGTTCGATAACGTCAAATTGGCAGATGATCCAAAAAACGACCTACGGTCTTTTGTTAACTGGGCGTAAAGAATGGCTCGTTGATTCTAACAAAACTGCTCTCTATTAACCATCTAAGAGATGACTTTCTTCTTTCCATCAGTATGGCTGATGCTAACCTCCAGGTGAGGGACACGTTGCGCCTTTTCAGGTTAACATTATCGACTGACATGAATTGGAAAGACTATATTGGATTCTTTGTTAGGTCAGCTGCTAAAAAAGTTGATTCACTGTGTCATGATAGACAATTTTTCCCACCAGAATCTATCTTACATACCTATAAGTCTACCATTTGCTTAGAATATTGCTGCCACATATGGCCAGGTGCTCCTGATATATGTTTAGATATTCTTGATTAAATCCAAAGAAGAATTAACAATTTTATTGGTTCTGACCCGGTGTCTGGGCTTCAGTCACTTTCCTACCGCCGTAAAATTGCTTCTCAATGCCTTTTTTTTTATAAAGACTTTCATGGTAATTATTCGAATGAGTACTCCATAATGGTGCTTAGGCTTTATGAATTTAAGTGCAGTACTAGATTAGCAACAAGTTTTCATCAATTTACATTTGAATTGACTGGATATAATCCTAAGTTCTATGCTAATTGTTTCTTTTCTCACACTTATCGCTTGTGGAACTCTCTTCTGGATCCAAGCTTGCGGCCAACTTTCCGTTGTTTTAGCCCCTTCATACTATTTCTGTTTTCTCATTCTTTCACAATTTCCTTCTGTATAATCCATCATTTTCTGTTAATTAACACTGAAATAATTTGTAACAATAAAATTGGGTTTATATATATATATATATTAAGAAATGGACAAGGTCCGACAATTTATTTATTAAAGACATTTTTTATGTTTAACGTTGTTATTTTATAGATACAAGTATTTAAGTAAATGCTCTGTTTATGATAAACAGTATTAAATAACATTTACCGGCCTGAATGTCCGAGAAATTTTCATAGAAAATATTCGTTCTTTGACAGGATTCGAACCTGCATCCTATACGGAACCGTCATACGCTGACGTGCCTTACCTCTAGGCTACAAAGAATTTATTTGCTTAAATGCTTGTATCTATAAAATAACAACGTTAAACATAAAAAATGTCTTTAATAAATAAATTGTCGGACCTTGTCCATTTCTTAATATATGACGTCATTTGTTTACATTCGATACGCCAGAGCAGTTATGAATGTACGAGATTCATGGAAGATTAGAGTTTATAAGCAGTAAATTCGACCTTGTCTACCGAACGCTTCTTTGTAGCCTAGAGGTAAGGCACGTCAGCGTATGACGGTTCCGTATAGGATGCAGGTTCGAATCCTGTCAAAGAACGAATATTTTCTATGAAAATTTCTCGGACATTCAGGCCGGTAAATGTTATTTAATACTGTTTATCATGAACAGAGCATTTGCTTAAATACTTGTATCTATAAAATAACAGCGTTAAACATAAAAACTGTCTTTAATAAATATATATATATATATATAATATTAATATATATATGTATACATATTATTTTCATTTTGTTATTTATTAATTATTTTTACAATTATTATTAATAAAATATATTCAATATAAAGAAACGCTAGTATAAATTATAGCTTTCCGAATTCAAGAAGAGACGACTCGTCCATTTGAAGTTCCAAGTTAGGTTTGAAATCAGTTAATTTCTTGAGTTTCGAAAGGACGCGTGACTCTACTTGAATTAGGAACGCCATAAATTATATTAACGTTTGTTTAACAAGTCATATTCATGTGAAACCTGATTAATCAATGAAAATTAAAGAAAGCAAAAATGCCAAAAATTGTTCTTTTCCTCCATATTTCATTTTCTGATGAAGCTTTAATTAAAGTGAAGCGTATTAGATTGATAAATGCTTCCCATTTGTTCTTTTATATATATATATATATATATATATTGGTGAATATGCATAATATCCAACATCGATAGCACGGTTCGGATTTTTATGCGATTTTGCACTCTTCAGGTTTTGATTATACGCTGACCGTTATGAGATTCGCCTTCTCGTGGCGATGAATTTAAATTGTGTATTCAGACTTGTTTATTTAATTATTATTGCCTAAAATATGATAATTAATTTTTTTATAACTTATATCAGTCAAATTCTTCAGTTCGAATTAAGGATCGGTTCTGAGAATATTAATAGCTGTTGCATATTATATTAATATTCGTAAAATCTATTTTGAAATCTATTTTAATCGGTGTTTGAGTAGATGCTTGGTCTTATGGATACATGTAGACATCAGTTCTGTTCAGCAACTTAAGGTTATTTAAGTGTTTAAATATAATAAGCTTCTCCAACAAACACAAGTTACATCTGCTTTCCTGTCCATTGTATGGTTTAGCTTTCGCAATTATCTCTCAGGTAATGTTTGTATTTTTTGTTGTTTTTTAATCGCCAACCACATTTTGAAAGTGTTGTGTAGTTTTTGGTATTTGATATTACTCAGTGTTATTTTGTGGTGGTAAAATCGCGATTTTCAGCTGTTCTCGGTGGATCCAAAGTGTGGCACCCTGCATTATTAGAAAAACTAAAAAGAAATATTCATAGAAATATGATTTAATTTTTATTCGGTTTATTAACTAGTTGTTAGTTATTTAGACGAAGAATAATTGAGTTTTGAGAATAATTCTCTAATTGTATTTAGGCGACCCTAAGGGAAGAAGAAGGGAAAAAGAAAGAGGAAAAGAAAGGAAAAGAGAGAGGGAGAGATGGGTAATGCAAAAGCTGGTCATAAGCGAAAACAGGTGTCAAGAGATATCTAGGCCAACGCGCCTGACTGAATTTCAAGAACAATGGAAATTGTTATTTGAAAGAGTAAGTTTAGAGATAATGAACGGACATGGTAAAAGTGGATGAACATACGTACGATTGATAAAAATATCGGTCAAAACATCTGGCCTACTTTTGTGTCCACGGAATGTAGAAGCTCATTATCAATTTGGAGAAATGGGATTTTTTAGAACAATGGAAGAAGTGTCATTGGGATGAGAATTGGGATTGTATACAGATCTTGACCAGCTGAAGATAAGAACCCCCACGATGATGAAGTGAGGATATTTTCAATTCAGATAATTAAGATTTTTAACTGTCAGGCCTGAACGAAAATAAAGGAATGAAAACAATTGTTTTGGCTCACAGAAAGCGCCAGCGAGACGAGAAAAATTCTTCCTGAAGTCACATCTAATTAGCGGCGGGCTGTTTTGACAAAAACCAAAAGGTGAGAAAGGCCGAGATTGTCATTTTTCGTGCGTGCGAAAAAGGCCAAATTGGATTTTGTTTTTTTTAGCAAGGTGTTCTTTCCCAGAACAAAGCCGAGATAGACCACGCCCGATTGGAGACGTCACGAAGGACGGGAGACGCCCAACCAGAATCTCATTAGCCGAAAGCGGTCGCGTGATATGCGAGAAAGAGGAGAAAGGACGCTCGACCAGGACCCATTGGTCGAAAACGGTCACCTGACATACGAGAGACCGGGAGAGATGGGTATGCGCCTCCACCCCCAGAGGCACTGTGAGGAAGTAGGGGTGAAAATAAGAGCGATAATGGGAAATCAGAACTAATGCGACTTTTGGAATTATCAAGAAACCCTGACGCCGACAGACCCACCCCAGTTTGTTGCGGCGTCAATAAAAGCAGAACCCCAACCGACAGAAATCAGAGAGTTGCGGGGTAGACGGCCAGAGCAGTTGGAGAGCGGACGGCGGGCCCTGTTCATTCGCCCCTTGCGGGCAAGAAGGGTCGGTCCGTTTGGCCCGGACAGGCAGAGAAGTTGCAGCCAAGTCGAAGAGAAGAAAATTGCTCGAAAGCCGCAGAGAAGTTGGAGCAGAATTGCAGGCCAGACAGGCCGAAGAATTGCAGGCCAGATAGGCAGAAGAGCTGCAGGCCAGACAAGCAGAAGAATTGCAGGCCAGACAGGCAGTAAAGTTGCAGGCCAAACAAGCAGATGAGTTCAGCCCCGGAAGGCAGAGAGAAGAGATCACCCCAGACGGCAGAGAGAAGAGTTCGGACCTTGGCGAGAAGAGTTGCAGGACGGAAGAAGAAGAAGTTACTTGCAGTTGCGTCTAGAAGAAGTTGAAACCAGGCCAAGCCTGAGGGTGGAAATTCGTCCAACCCAAATCGAAGTGAAGAAATACGTCCAACTCAAGCCGAAGCGAATAAGCTCGTCCAACTCAAGCCGAAGAGAAGAATCAGCCGTGAACGACTGGTAGAGATTAGCGCCCAGTGTCGAAACCAAACCACACCCGACATACAAAATTTAGAGAGTAGGCAACTCGAAGTCTTTAAATTGTATGATAGAAGCTTGGTGCCACAGTCCACAAAAACGGGTCGGGAAGTAAGAATAATTTTATGTAACGAACATTAGATATAAAAGGTTGTTACCTTTCTTATCAGTAATTTTTTGCCTCGTGAGTTTTTTTTTTTTTTTTTGCTTGTGTGTTGCCACCCCTGTTGAACCCAGCTGGCATACGGCCCCGACTCCTGTTTGATCCCGTCTGTCTAAGATCTAATCACAACGTGGGTAGGCAGACCGGAGATCAGTACAGTTACCCTAGTAACCAGGTGTTGGAAGCGAGTTGGGAACGGCGAGGCTGGTAATCATCTAACCAGAGGGTTGGAACGTCACACTTGGAGCAGCGAGGAGCGAACAACTGACGCCGCGGCAAGGAACGTCACAACTGGTGCTGTCCGTGACAAGGATCGACCCTTGGGCGGCCACATCACGTCGCGTCACAGTTGGAGCCGCGAACGAGATCGAACGACAGAGTCGACGCTGCGACCAAGGAGGGGCGACGTCACAGTTGGTGCCGTGACCAGGATCGACCCTTGGGCGGCCACATCACGTCACGTCACAGTTGGAGCCGCGAACGAGATCGAACGACAGAGTCGACGCTGCGACCAAGGAGGGGCGACGTCACAAAAGTAATATTTAACATTATCGTCTGAATTGATACTAGGTCTGTAGATTATGCCTTCAGACATGCACTGGTCATTTAGTGGGAAGGTTACGTTTTTGCGGCAGTTGTAGGATTATTATTTAGTGTTTTGTTTGTATGCTTGCTTAATATATTATTATGTTGGTATATATAATTATCTATGTTTTTTTTGTACAGCTATAGCTTGTCTTAATATTATTTTTGTTGAAAAAAGTGTTGGAAAATGACCAAAGTGCTTGTGAATTAAATTCAGGAAAATTCTACCTACATTGGTTTTGACATTACTGTTGTATAGCAGGTTAAACGATATCATGTTACTTTTGCGCTGTTTTAGCTTATTTTTTAAAACTTTATCATAATTTTTCTGCATACTCTAATTTCATTTCATGGTTGCTGCGTTCTAGCGCTTTATTATATCTAGCTTTATTATCGTCGAGTATTACTGGATAACCTATGTTGTACAGATTTGTGTAAATTGTCAAGTATCCTTTTATGCTGGTTGGATTTTCTGTCGATGTACCTCTGGTCGTATAAATCCTTACTTTACGGTTCATAAGTGCCCTTACTGAGGTCAAATGTAACGTCTAGGAAATAGATCACTTTTGCGTTGGTATTGGTGGTAATGTTTAGTTTATGGTCCTTAAAGATTTAGCTCATTTCTCATCTGGTCTGCTTGTCTTGGTCTCAGTTTACGAAAGCGAATTATCCCATTGACGCAGTATATACCGTTAATTTTTTTTATATCAGAGATAAATCTGAGTCTCCATAGCAACAGTATCCTTACAAGGTCATATTCTTCCGCAGAATCATGTACTCCCATGGATACGAAAATGTCTGTTTTTTTTTCTTAGTCTTCGTGGTATAGAATCACTTTCTGTACCTGTCTTATGAAATACTAGATTTTTGTTGTGGATTCAGGGATGAAATCTGGTACCAATAAATAACAAACGCCAAGAAGAAATATAGGAAAATAAATGTATTAATGTAATAATACAACCTGGTAATGTAGGTTAGTAGTTCCAGGAATGCGGGTTAGTAGCAAAATACAGTCTTTGGTATCGACGTATCACTGTATGCCTTCTTACTGAGTCTACGCGCATGCTCACTGTGACTCTTGCTCGTTAGGTTCGTTCTGGTTCGTCGCTCGTTCGTCGCTCTTTCTCGCTCTTCTCCCGGGTATTCACTAGCAGTAGTATATGTATACCCTGGGTGAGTCCATTTGTATAAAAAGGGGAGAACCCCTCAACAATTTCCCTACTCATTTCCATATTAATTCTGATCAACTGGCTTCTTTACTTGATTTGTTCATTACCTTCGCTTCTGTCTTTTGTCGAGTATAGCAAGTGTCCTTCGTAATTCGGATCACATCGGAGTATCCGTTACTTTTTCATTTGACTCTAATATTAGACATGAACCTCTTAGTCCCAAGACATCTTTCTGTTACTAACATACTGATTGGGATTCATTTCGTGATTTTTTTTACCGTCGCCCCTTGTGAACTGTACCACTGATATCACTTTGATAAAAGCAAGCACCGATGACAGGTGAAACTACAATCTTCTTGTTTCACACCCGCCTGTTCAGCCATTATAGCCAACATGAATCACTTTTTCCAGCTGTATCAGAGTGATAGTTCCGATCACAGCTTACAGCTCTTCCTGTTCGCTCGTAATACTTGTAAAGTTTTTGTTCGCTGAGAGAATGAGGCACCAGATAGCATCTAACAATTTTGTTTCTCGTAACTACTGTTGGCTTTGTAATAATGTTTTAAATAAGAATAAGTTTTATATTCCTCGTCTTTTCACTCAATTTATGGGTTATAATCATTTGCTGATAATGCAGAATATTTTGCTTTTACATTCTCTTCCAATTCTACTTATGACTCATCTGGAGTATCTTTTGTTTGATTCTCCACTTAGAACTGAGTCTCTGTTGTGATATATATATATATATATATATATATATATATATATATATATATATATATATATATATATATATAAAAGTGTTGATTTGATGGTATCCCTGCAATAGTTCTTAAGAAATATGCTCCTTAAATGGCTTGTATTTTCTCTAAACACGACATAAATGTCTTGCTGCTTTTGCTCACCTGCTTGTTGGAAATCTTTTTCTGTAGTTACTGTTTTTAAGAACTCATGAGAACCGTTTGATCCTTCTTACTACTGGTTTATTAGCCTTCCACCTCTTTTTAGCAAAATAGTAGGGACTCTAATCAACTACGAACTGGTTAATCATCTCACCTTGCAAGATCTTCTTTCAGAAACAATATGATTTCCACTTCTCTAGGTCAACCGAGGATGTATTAATGGTTATTTCTGAAAGAATATATCAAACTTTAAATGAGAATGGTAAAGCTCGGGTTGTTGCTTTAGATATCTTTAAGGCATTTGCCAGGGTTTGGCATGCTTGTCCTCAAAAGTTGAAAGATTATTGAACTTAAGGGTATATTTTTTATCTCATTCAATCTTATCACATCGCGAATTGAAAGTTGTCTTGAATAGTCACTATTCTAGATATGCATTAATGCGGATGTGATCCAGGACTATGTTCTACGTACGTTATTCTTAATTTTCATCGTTGACGTTCCCGATTTTATAAGTTCTCAGCTTAGAATCTATGCTGATGACACAATTACATACTAATGTCCTAATGGTAAGTGTAATCGATTCGATAAAGTCAGATTGGAAATCATGCTAAAAAATGACCTTCAATGTGTTAAGTGAGGCAAAAGATAGCGTCATAATTTGAATGTTTCCACGACGAAATTACTAGATCCAGTGACATGGCCCAAAGAGTGTGAATTCAATACCCGGTTAAGGTACTGGAGAACTTTCAGAGGGAAATTAACAGGAAACATTCAGAGGGAAACGTGGAACTAGAACAGTCCCCAGTCAGCGAAATAAAGGGTTCAGTTCGACATTCCAACCACCTGAAGACCGGAGCGTACAACGACCGAAACGTTGTGATAAATATGGCGATAAAGATGAAGATAATAGTCGGAATAATGTAAATAATGTTTATAGGCAGCGATATATAAAATTATATTTCAATCTCTGATATGTATATTATACAAACTAATACGGCACTTCCATATCACTGAAACCAATAATTTCTTTTTCATTTTTCTTTCATAATTCAATATACTGCATCAATAAATTTATTTTTTTTAAAAAAGAAGTTAAATCTTAAACAACTTACGATTTTTTCTTTCTCGTCTGATGATAAAATTTCTTTTGATCTATGCTGAGTGATCCCGGTTTCTTCGGTTCTACGAAAGCTTAACTTTTTTCCCTTTAATTATTCCTTTACCATTAATTAAAACTGTCTTTTCTGCACTTTTCTTCCGTTCTAGGGATTTGTATTCATCCTTATAAATGGGCAAAACAGAGTCATGAAGTGCTGCAGATATAAATACGCTGAAGAACTCCCGTAATAAACTCCATTTCATTGCTGAATAATCAGATATTGATTACCTATGTTGCAGCATAAAAACAATGGCAACCAAAATTTGCATATATATATATATATATATATATATATATATATGCAAATTTTGAAAATCTGGAGCATCAGTTCACAACACGTGGCTATAAACAACACCTAATCAGGGAACAAATAAATAAAGCAATTTCTACACCTAGAGAAGACACCCTAATGTACAAGATTAAAAATAAATCTAGCCGCATTCCTCTAGTAACCACTTTCAATCCCACTCTGCCTCCACTATCTCAAATAATCAAACGTCGCTGGGAAATACTACATCTCAAACCAGACCTAAAAAAATTGTTTAAGGAACCCGGCCTTCTTGCATATCGTAGAACCTAAAAAGAAATCATAGGTAGTAACCACATTTAAGGGGACAAAGTAATCCGTAATAAACTAAGAACAAAAACAACAGGATTTTCCCAACCATGTAACAACAAAAGAAGTTTATGTTGCAACCATATTAAAAACACGAATTCATTCACTAGCTCAATCACTAAATCTACTTTCAAAATCTACCACGATTCTAACTGTAGAAGTCATAACATAATTTACCTCCGAGAATGCACACTATGCCAGAAACAATATGTAGGAAAATCTGAATGGCCCTTTCACTACAGAATTAATAATTATCGTAATCGAATTAAGTCGACTCCCCATGAAAAATTATTACCTGTAGAACATTTAACAATACAGATAGTACCAATATATAACTCAACAAATCAAAACCTACCCACATTTCTCACCCACACAAGACAGACATGCTTACGGAGGTGTGGAGGCCTCACACTTATACACTTATACACACCCCCACACGAATATACACACTTACACACATCATACTCACTCACTTCCTAATGAGCCACATGATAACACCCCCCACAGCAATACACACGCGTACACATATCATACTCACTCACTCCCTAAGAACCAAATAACACACACACAAACACTAAACAGAGACACATCCCTCACCAGGTCCAATAAAACTGTCAAAACTGACCAGAGAATTCAGAGCTGCATGTATCTATCCAGCTCTTATCTCAAATAACAACTTAAAAAGAGACTGTTTGACTAACACAAGGAATGTTAAAAAGATTCATGTTAAAAAGATAAAAAAAAAAAAAAAACAAATGAAAACTACAGACAAAAGTTCATTTTCCAGCAAAAGATTAATTTCTGTAGTTTATTGCTACCAGCAAGCAGAAATATTTCTCCTCCCGATGATGATGGCCATTTTGGTCGAAACTAGTCGAGGAATCTAAATGAAATAATAATAAAAAAAAAAACAAAAGAATATTAATCTACAACCCAGTGTGTCTAAAGATTTTAATTTTTTAATATTTTTTTATTGTTCAATATATATATATATATATATATATATATATATATATATATATTGATTGAATAGACGCTCCCTTCTGTTATTGAACAGTATATTTGTTTTCATCTACGAGCCTGAATATTCGAGGAATCTTAAATAAAATAATTTGTTCTCCAGCAGGACTCGAACCTGTATCCTCGTTGCTGGAGAAACTGTCGTTAGACCCAAAGTACTTCTGCCCGTCTAAGCCACGAAATGAATATTCCCTTACAGGCGCAAATTTTTCTCAGACTCTCGAAAAATATTTACTCATTTTCATAGGCTAACGTAAACAAAGCGATTTCTAAAGAAGTTATGGAATTTTATTTATTAATCCGACAGATTTTATTACTTAAAATATATTTTTAGTGGATACAATATTTTAGTCAACGCTCTGTTCATTTCTTAAATAATATTTTTATTTATTTTCATCTACTGACCTAAAGTTTTGAGAAATCTACTGGAGAGTCCATATTTTTCTTTAATAAAATTTCACTTAACTACATCTTTACAGCAGTTAAGGTATATCTGTTTAAGAAATGATACCGTATTCATCCGTTCCTGCAAATTCAGTCATTTATTTGTATTGCTTACACGTGTTTCACAAATAAGAGTTATTTCTACAGAGAGAGAGAGAGAGAGAGAGAGAGAGAGAGAGAGAGAGAGAGAGAGAGAGAGAGAGAGAGAGAGAGTAAAAAAAATGTATAAGCAGTTACAGTGTAACCAAAAAACCAATATGGCTAAAAAAGGTAGACAATTCGGACTTCTAACTTGCCTTTGTATCGTTTTAGCATTAACATCCAATGCCGTTGTTATTATCAACGGTATTACACACGGGTCTTTCCTACAACAAGAGGTTATTTAAAATAAGAGGGAATAATACGTAGTAATCATAATGTCTAAACAAAATAACAAAATGATAACAACACTAATTAAACAGGGAGAAAGAGAGAGGAATGCAAACACAGAAGGAGAGTCAAAAAAGATACTACTATTTTTACTAGTAATAGTAGTAATAATAATAATAATAAAGAATGTAATTTTCACAAGAAGCAAAGGAAAGAGAAGGACATAAGAAACAACAGAGGAGCAAAATCGGCACAAAAAGTAGAATATTGGCTGCCAAAAATAAACAAACAAAATTTTCGAATTAAAAGCGAAGTAAATACAAGGTGTCCCAATTCACCAAGGGGATTTTAAAAATTAATAATTCGTTTATTTTTAAATTTTAATTCACAATACAATAATATTATATAGAGTAGTCATGAGAAATAAATTTCCCTTATTTGAGAATGAGTACATATTTCAAGTGGCGTCCATTTTCAACATCGTATGAACGTGCCGTTTTTTAGTCATTTTCCCTCACAGCCCTCAGTGTTCCAAGTTCTTGTGCTTTGATGTCTATACGAAGGTTGTCTTTCAGTTATTGGAGAGCTTGTTGATATAAACTTTTTCTTTGGGATACCCGCATAGGAAGAACTCCGAGCCTGTCTGATCTGAGGAACATGGTGGTCAGTAATAAATTATTATTTTCTGTAAAATTTACCTGAGAAGTTGTATTTTAAACCTTGTCGTATCAGCTTTTGCACATCCGGTAGTACGGAAACAGGTTGATGCCTTTAAAAATTCGTTGGAGATTCGGAGAGATCCAAACCTGTCGAGACCGCCTTCTTCGATACTCACTGAAATAACCTTTTGTTCCTAACCGAACGTGTTATGTCACTTAGTGGAAGATTACTTACTGTACAATTAATCTCTCATACCGTAGGGGCAACAATATGACCGTTGAGTTTCAATTATTGGCCCTTAGATTTGGTAGAATGATTTCACTACTTCTGTTCGATTTTTAGTTTTGCGTTTTGATATGCTTAATATACAAAGACTCCTTTATAAAATACTTGAAAAGAAAAATAAAAACCGGAAAAAAGTTATTTAACTTTTTTCCGGTTTTTCTTTTTTCTTTTCAAGTTATTAAACTTTCAAACCCCTCGGTGACTTATGGGACACCTTGAACATACAATGTAATATAGCAGCTGAAAAGCACTATAGCCAAATGGGATGCTGAATTTAGTTCAGGACGTTTACATCATTGTGTAATATAATCGCTAAAAAGTTGCTCTAAGGGGTCAAAATATCTTAAATTGAATGATCGGAAAGGAAAAACCAAGTAATTATATTCCGATAACTTGCTTGCAACTTGAGGTTGGATATCCCATCTAGAAAAAAGTCACAATGAAAAAAAGATACAGTAAAATACAATCTAAAATATATTCATGAAATGCTTTAAAAATAGGTTAAACACGAGAAACAATAAAATAAATTCTTAAAGAAAGGCAAAGAAAATGATTCCTTATACTAGGATTTTTGAATGCCTAGATTGCTGCAAAAATGGCTAAATTCAAAGCTAACCTGATAAACAACTGGAAAGTTGGCTTGATCGTGAAGCATTATTTCCACTAAACTGTTAGAAAAAAGGATTTTAAGATTTGTGGCATTTACTGCCATTTATCACATGTACGAATCAAATGAATATAATATAAAGAAACTTGATAGGCTGATACTAATTTACGAATAGATTGGATTCACAAAGAATAAAAGAGTTAGAAGCACTGATCCAAAAGCATTTTACCAAAGACATGGAAGTAGCTATCGGTGTAGAAACAAGAGTAATATTAGTGAAAATCTGTAGCAGTGAGCTCCCAGGTAAAAGAATATTAAATGCGAATAACCGCTAAAATACCTCGGTGTAGTTAAATGCGGTTTCATAGAATAGGAAGAAATGAAAGACCTAATAAAAATAGTTCAAGAAACTCAGAATTATATTAGAAGAAGCACAAATCTAATAAAGCTATGAATAGACAGTGTCTACAGTGACTATAGTTTGGGCATCTCGACTGAACAAAAGCGGAACTTAAATCGCTGAGTCAAGAGAGTAATAAATTAATGACAATGCACGACGCTATAAAATCGAGAGATGATACTGGCAGATTTTAAGTAAAAATGAAAAGAAAGAAGTTGCAGACTCGTTCGTATTGCAGGCAGTGCTCAGTATGCTATGACAGAGCTTACGAAACACATGCAAACAAGCAAAGAAAACGTGGTTATAAAAACTCGAAACAGAAAGGCAATTGATAAACCGGTAATAAACGCAAGAAAGATAAGAAACTCATCAAGAAAATGTGGGAAAAGAAAAAAAAATAAATAAAATAAAATAAATAAGATTGTTGAAAATGAAAAGACTTGTGTAGAAAAGCTAAAAAAGCAAAAACATCTGTCTTATAATTACAACCTAGAATAATACCTATATATATATATATATATATATATATATATATATATATATATATATATATATATATATATATATATATAAAGAAATATAGTCTTAAGGTATGCTATATTTATGGAATAAAGTGCTCAATATCAGAGATAGAGCGTGTAAATATAAAAGTGAACATAAAAGTCAACACTTAGAGGCGACAGTCTGTTTCATGCTATATGCAATCGTCAGGCCACATATGCTGTTATTTTTTTCGGCTATTTATATATACGGGTTAGTAGTGCATTGTCGGTATTCTATTATGGCGGTTATTTTACCGGAAGTCGTTTGTTTATTTATTTGGGTAAAATTATATTGCTTGTTTTTATTTTTTGTTTCTTATTTTATTTATTTATTAACGTAGTAAAAATTTGTTTATATCACGTATTTAACAGTTTTTTTTTGGTTTGAGAGTTTAATGAAAGCTATTTGTTCAATTTTGGGGTTGATTGTTGTGGGAACAGGTTTTAATTGATTATCTTTATTTGGTATTGGTTTGTTTATTTATTTACTTGGATGAATTTAGGTCAATTTAGTTTACTTGTATATTTTCTCTTTTCGTTTTTTAAGCAACATAGTATTTATTTATTTTTTATTTCTATTTTTTTTTATTAGTATATTTATTTGTTTTTATTTTATTTTTTCCGTTTTTCATTTTTTAGGTTACGTAGTAAAAATTTATTTTCATGCCTGCATTTTGAGATGAGCTCGGATCTTTTATTTAATAATTTATTTTGGTCGGGGAAAGTAATGATAGCTATTTTTTCCTCCAAGCAAAGTTTGCAAGTTTTTGATTGGTTGTTGTAGGCCGATGATTTTTTCCTTATCTTCCAAGATATTTTTGGTGTGATGTACGTTTTGTTTTTAATTTCCCAGATATACTTAGAAAGCATTGTACTGTTCGCATATTTACTATTTGTGAAAGATGTTTTGCGTGTATAATTTCTTTTGTTTCAGGGTCCTTCAGTTACTCCTATGTATACTTTTTTCTTCATTATCTGGTGATTTTATCGTGGCTTGGTATATTACGTTGTTTTGTAAACAATTTCCGTGTAAGGGACATTCGTTCTTTATTCTGCAGTTGCACGTGGGTTTAATTTGTTCGTGTGGTTTGTTGATAATTTTCCTATTGTGCTTTTTTATTATTTGTGCCATGCTCTCGGTGCAGCTGTAGCTGATTTTTGCTGTGTTTTTTGTTGAATATCTTGTGTAAGGGGCTTGATTCTGGGAAGTGTTTGTGAGTTTGAAGAATATTTTTCCTACGTTTGTTTTTACGTTCTTGCTGTATGGTGGGTTGAACCATATGATATTTCTTCTCCTGTTGGCCTTTTTTGTATTCTGTGGTGAGTATGTGAGTATTGCTGGGAATCCGCTTTTAGGGCCGTTTCATAGTCTTTCTTAGCTTTGTTAAATAGGGATTCATTGGAGAAAATGTCGGAGAGCCTGCGGTTAATCGATTTTGGTATCTGTTTGATTATAGAAGGCGGATGGTTGGAAGATGTGTGTATGTAGAGTGGTTTATCATTAGGTTTTCTATATGGTTTATATGTGCCTTCTCTTAGGTTGAAGGTAACATCTAGGAAATCTACTTCGTTTAGGTTAGTTTTTATATCTATGTCGAATCCGTTATTTTTAAAAATCTTTATTATTGCTTTTCTAGTTTTGTCTGTGTTTTGTTTGTTACAGTTTCTTAAGATTATGAGACCGTCGTCCCTGTAGAGTCCTGTGTCATTTCTATCTATTATTTTGCTCAGTTCGTGTAGTAAGTAAATTCCTATGATTTCGCATGCCTCTGCACCGTCAAAGCTTCCCATTGTAGTGTCAAATATCCCATCTTTCTTTATCCATGCTTCTTCATTGTGGAATAATAATGATTTACGGGAGTGCTTAATGATGTTGATTTCGCTTGGTTTTATTATTATTTGTTCCTGAGCTAAGTTGATGGCCTTATCTAGCATACGTTCTGTTATGGATGGGTAAAATTCAAACCAATCAAAGACTTGCAAACATTGCTTGGAGGAAAAAATAGCTATCATTACTTTCCCCGACCAAAATAAATTATTAAATAAAAGATCCGAGCTCATCTCAAAATGCAGGCATGAAAATAAATTTTACTACGTAACCTAAAAAAAATGAAAAACGGAAAAATAAAATAAAACAAATAAATATACTAAAAAAAAAAAATAGAAATAAAAATAAATAAATACTATGTTGCTTAAAAAACGAAAAGAGAAAATATACAAGTAAACTAAATTGACCTAAATTCATCCAAGTAAATAAATAAACAAACCAATACCAAATAAATAAAATCAATTAAAACCTGTTCCCACAACAATCAACCCCAAAATTGAACAAATAGCTTTCATTAAACTCTCAAACCAAAAAAAAAACTGTTAAATACGTGATATAAACAAATTTTTACTACGTTAATAAATAAATAAAATAAGAAACAAAAAAATAAAAACAAGCAATATAATTTTACCCAAATAAATAAACAAACGACTTCCGGTAAAATAACCGCCATAATAGAATACCGACAATGCACTACTAACCCGTATATATAAATAGCCGAAAAAAATAACAGCATATGTGGCCTGATGATTGCATATAGCATGAAACAGACTGTCGCCTCTAAGTGTTGACTTCTATGTTCACTTATATATATATATATATATATATATATATATATATATAAAAGTACCTCGTATAGATTACATCAAAGTAGAAATCTGAAAATTTCTGAAGTAAAAGAAATGAAATTACTCTTTATAACAGCATGGTAAGCCTGGCTCAATGTTTTAATCCAAGATAATGTTTAATGAAGATTTAAAGCAGGAAATAATGATTTTTAAAAAAAATTTAAAAGTTGAAAATTTTAGAGTCCCAACATTTTCAGCAATTCCTATCTGTACTTAATTATAACCGACCTGTAAGCTTTTACCCATCCCTAGTATATATAGTTACATCAAAAGAAACATCATTTTAGTCCGATTAAGTTCTAAAGGATGAATCGTGTCGCAAACATTTTTTCCATTTTGTCATTAATTTTCATAACAGATTAAACAGTGAAAAAAAAACCTCAGCGAAAACTAAGTTTCGTGAAAAATAATGTAAAATAACTAAAAACTATAAAAATGAATTTGAAGGAGGCACCAGGAAGATTTTAACCTGAAATCAATTAATTAGTATTCATTAAGATTTAGTTAGATCTTCCCCAACTTATTCAGTTGCCTCCAGTCCAATATGAAAAAAGATTTATGGTCTAAAATTTTTTAATTTATAAAGAAGAATTTTTGCTATATTTATATAAAATACGATTTGTCCGCAGCAGTTCAAATTATACGAAAATCCAGATTAGAATTATGGCCTGACCACATTCTGAAGAGGGCCATCTGTTACTAGACAAAGAAACATCATGAATATATTATCGTAAAAAAACATGCAAGAAATCAATTTCTTATGTGAGGCGGGTAAAACGCAGGCATAAATTCTGGAGCAGACAGAAAGAAAGGACAGAGAAGATAGCAGAGTTTTGTTATGAACCTCCACACTATCCGCTACTGCTTTTGACACTAACGAACCCAAAGACACAAATCTAGATACACAAGAATACAGCATAATGACCAAGTTCTGTCTAATTATTTCTATTTACTGTCGAAAGATCATCACCCATCATAGAGAGATTAATAATTATTTCCTATGTTTTTTTTTTAACTCTTCAATTTGCCTTCTTTAAATTCATTTGTTTGTTATCAACAGAGTTTACTGGTTTGGGCAACAAAATTGGTTTTTAGCCAAGATAAAGAAGGTACCACGTCCGCGGAAATTTCACACCTGAAATCTCAGCGGAATCACAATGACCACAGGGTGAAATCTCCATAAAATCTGGTTATCTCCCAACTTGCTTATGTTTACATTCGATGGTCGTAAAGGTAAAAACACCGTCAATTGACGCGGCCAAGTATAAGCGCTGAGAGTGGGAAGAACAGATTAAGGAAACGAGAGAAGAGACATAGCTATATCTTTGTATTTGCAAATAGAAACACACGCACAGATGTACGAGGAAGTACAGTAAGCAAGGGAAAAGGTTTTCACGAACAGAGTTCAAATTCTTGCTAACGTTGTTTAAATTCACTTTGCACTAATGTTCCTGGGAACTGCCTGAAAGTCACTTTTCTCTGCTTTCAGTCCTATGGCCAGTGTCACAATGCAACGAAAAAAATAGTGTGTGAATGCGCAGTTGAAAGAAACTTCTCTCAAAATTTGCCGCTCAGCGAGTCACAGCAAAAAAAAAAATTAAACCTATACACAACTTTTTATGGGAGTTCAGTCATTATATATATATATATATATATATATATATATATATATATATATATATATATATATATATATATATATTATATATATATATATATATATATATATATAGATGTGTGTGTGTGTGTACCAAAATACAGAATCGCTATTTATAATTCATATTTAAATATGGTTCATACAAACTCATGACACGAATGATTAATATATAAATTCCTCGTAACAAAGAATTTAATTACAAAGATAGAAATACGTGATTTCTAACAACGAAACAACCAGTAAGAATCGATATCATAAGCTGACCTTAGGCTAAATACAAACGAAGAACATTATTCATGTTTTATTAAAATTTGCTTAGCAAAACTCAGCCTTTACTTTCCAATTAATCTAATTATTATGTTATTTCTTCTATAAGAAAAGTTGTTTGTGAGTGGAATGCATTATATTGCCTCCTCCCCACCAAACTCAGTGATGTAAAAAATATTTTGAATGAATTAATATATTATAAGAATCTACATAAAAAGGAGGAATAATATAGATAAGAGAGCTATTTCCTTTTCAGTAAATACTGATCATTTCACGACTGCAGTATTCACGCTAGCATGCAGTTGAAATGTCATTGTTGAAATGAGGTCAACAGCTGCTTGCTGCGACTGTGTGTAGGGGAAAGCAACCAACCATTTGGATATACCGGTAATAAAATATTCTTTTCAAGTCATTTGTCCATAAGACAGTGAATTCATGTTTTTCTCAAGAGCATTACTTCACATTCATGTGAAGTAAAAACGGCCCCAGTTGGAATTCAAACTCGGTGTCACTGATTCTATTTTCCTGGCTCATAGCATGCACGCCACAAAGAACTATAACATTAAAAACCCCATTACATGATATATATATATATATATATATATATATATATATATATATATATGTCATTGTTTGATTTCCCTGAACGAAAAACTTTCAGGTCTATCCACGACTGTTGATGGTCTACCCACATCGGTTGCAGACCAGACGGAGAGAAGAGAGAGAGAGAGAGAAGTCTGTTATCCCCCAACACTCGCTGTTACTGCTTCTGCCACTAGCGGAACAAGAGATATAAGTCCAGATAAACGAGAATACAGTGCAAGGACCACGGTCTCGCCAATTATTTCTATTTATTGCTAGAATAATTTTACTGTCAAAAGATTATCAACCAAGCTACATAGAGATTAATAATTTTTACTCCTGAAGTACTTTTAAATTCTTCAATTTATTTTCATTAATTTTATTATTTTGTGCAGTAAAATTGGTTCTCAGAAGACTTGAATAGTTCTTGGGTCAGTTTAATGAAGGTTTTAAAGTGATGTCCTGTGGAAATATAATTGATCCTTTGAATCAGAGATTAACATGTAATGAATCAGCGGTACAATAGTTATAAAGTCTGGAGGTCATAATTTTTCGACTGTGCTTTTCTTGTAGCCAGATGAGTGTGAGTGTGTGTGTGTGTGTGTGTGTGTGTCTATGTGTCTGTGTGTGTTAAAATATTATATTAATATATTTAAATTTTATTTTGAAATCGATGAGTGATCCTCAAATATTAGATTGCATATGACGAGCAATGTCCAAAATATTCCAGGTAATCAAATTAACGATGAGGATAAATTAATAAAACCAGAGATTTGATTAATTTTATCGCTTGGCTACTTTTTGCTTTTGCAAAATAATTTAATCGATTTCTCATGCTCAAGCAGTTTTTACACTGAGTAATAATATCAAATCCAGATTGATACAAATACAAATAATATTGTCAATCGTTCTGTTTAATACGCCTCAATTCTGAGTCTAAGACAAAACTACTGAAGTCACGTAAAGTCGCGTCTCTTGTGTTGTTTCTGAGTTTTACGTTCGGGTATTTTTCACTTAAAAATTATATATTCATAATAAAATGTTAAAAAAAAATCTTTATTTAGGAATAATCTATTTGAGTAATATTACATTTCATCGTTAGTTTGGATATTGTCTAATCGAGCTCACCCGTTGCCACTAATATTTGGCGAGCTTGATGGAGAGCTGACCACTGATTATCCTTAAGCATCTATTTTATCCATCTCAGTAAGTTGAGACATGGATGTTCCTAAATTTGAAAGGTTCGTAACAAGAGGGATAAGCCAGTATATGTTCTAACTTATAGGGATTATGTAAACGCGAGCTCTTAGAAAGCGATGGATGGTGGTTCCTAATGATCATTGATCGATAGGAGTAATTATCGTAGCGGAGGAGAAGAAATTTACAAGTTGAACTATGTATTATGAGCCTCTGTTTTGAAATTAAATGAGATCAATCAAACTTTTATTTTTATTATATTACACTAAATTCATATACTGATATCGTTTAATGTTCAGCATAAACTAGATCTATAAGTAGTCCATTCAGAAAAGCAACAGTTGCTTACACAGAAACAGGGAAGTTATCAAATACAGGGAGAAGAGGATAAGAGTAACTAGCGAGTACAATGCAAAACTGTATGGTAGTGGTATTATTAGCCGTTTCCTTATAAGAAAACATTTGGTAATCATTTAGCTACTGTCGCAAGCCCGCAAGTGATGTGGTAATTCGAATATAAAAATAACACAGGCAGTCACTCTTGTAGATACTAGAGATGTTTGAGAAAATATAAAATAAAGTTTGTATTTTAACATGTGAACCGTACAGAACAGCAACAGGCAAAATTAATTTTGAAAAATGCTGACATTTCCACACAAAAAATAAACACATTTATATAGACAATGCATGCAGAAAAGAAACGTATAATAAAATTTTAGTCTCGGATTACTAATCCTACTTTATAAAAGAGGAGATGATAAACACTTTGGCAACTATCAAATCTCTACACTAAATTCCCTAATGTATTTTATTGAATATATTCTTTAATGACATTAGTAAAAAATTGGAATCAGCACTTTTCATTAGTTTTATTGCTAACTAATTTTCAACTAGTCTTACAACTTCCAATTTTTTACTAATGTCATTAAAGAATATATTCAATAAAATACCTTAGGGAATTCACGGCCAGTGCAAGGGTCTCGCGTTCCCACCGAATCTTTGATACTTACCCCACACTATTATATCTTAATTTTCATAAGGTGGTATAGTTATGTAAAAATTATAAATTTTGTCAACTAATTATGTACAATAATAGACCATATGCAATATAGGTGAACATTTCAACTAGAAAAATTGAAAGTAAATCCAGTGTATCTAAATACAAATTAGAGACATGTCAGTTGATCATTCCATATTAGATAAATCAAAAATGTTTTGCGGCAATTTTTAGCATCAACTTCGGATTTTTCTTGTTAAAAAGTTGAGTAATTTTAACATGTTCAACATTATGGATTTTATATAGTGTTTTTCGAGATTTAACAAAACAAATTCACGGACTTTGAAACAAAAATAAAAAAAGAGCTCAGAATGATGTCAAATCCCGAGAACACTTTTCATCCTTTAATATTAAGTTGTGCTTAGTTTGATTTCTAACGTATATAAATGTAGCCAAATGATAACGAGGATCACAATGCCCGGGATTCCCAATCGGTTGTGGGGGTGCAGAGGTATCACACACGGGCTCTTTGTAGATTTTTTTTTGATAGTGCAAACCGTATGTGTGAAGTCATATGTTGGCGTGCTCAGTATTTGTTTTTAATGGTACGTAGTGTCTAAAATCCTGTTTCACACAAGTATGTGGCGGGAAATAGGAACAGAAAATTTAGAGCATTTCCTATCATTTTCCGTAACAGTGAATATTATGAAGTAACATGCAAAAGAAAAGAGAAAGTTATAAAAAAAAACAAAGAAAAAACTAGTCTTACAGACGTCTTCATTGAAAGGAACCCAAATCTGCTTACAGTCAGTAAGAGGTTTAAATCAAAACGGCTTCACGCGATAGAAAATTAATTTGACCTCTTAAAAAACTTTAAGTGTTAACTTCATTAAAGCGTCGCCTTGGAGCTTGATATATTCTTTGTGCAAGGGAGAGAACTGTTTTAGTGTTTTTATGTGTGGATGAAATTTAGTAAATTCTCTGATTAAAACCTAATAACATACAACTTCACGACAAAAAGAAAACTAAGTTAAGACAATGAAAATATACAATTTTTCAAACAAATTAGTAGAATAGAAAATATAACATATTGCACGATGGGAATACAATATTTATACTTAATGAAACGAAAAGTGGTCAAATTCTTATCCGATTTCTGCGAGGTGGGAGTCGTTTGGACTTGGTTTGATTGATGCGACCCTATATTCACGAATTGAATTCGACAATCATTTTAAATGAACTCTTCTCCCCAAAATCAATTTTAGCAATAATAGGGTGTAAATAGACTTGGAAAGGACCTAAAGGGGAAACAGAAAAAAACAAAAAACAAAATGAAATTAACGTCGTAATTACTGAGTAAGCTAATATTATTAAAAAGGTAAAATAGGAAACGATTATAGAAAAGTAACATGCAAAATCAAATATGAGGAAATGATTCTCAGAAAGAAAACATCTAATAAGTTCAGAGGGAATATCATCGAATTTCGAAAAGAGATCAAAAACGGATTGCTGGCTTTGTGGAATAACGAAAATAACGGAGACAATATGAATAGCAAATTGACAATTATAATTAAAGGAACAACAATGGGAAATAATCGTTCAGTGTTGGAACTGATGCAAAAGACGAGAAATATGCCTTTAACTACTAAGGAAAACAGAATTGAGCATATAGAAGTAAAATTAGTCAACAAAAAATGAGATACAAAAACAAAAGACTAAGAATTTCGCTCACGGAGCATATTTCGGGCAAGGGAGATAGAAGACAGTGAGCACTGATAAGCTTGAATGGCGAACCAGCGAACTTGAAAAAGGAAAAAGAGTGTTAAAAGCCACACTGAGCCATGATCACCTATGTTCTGAAGGGACTCGTCACATCGAAGAGGAAGAAGAAACGATAAGGAAAAAAAAGAACTTGAAACAAGTTCGATACGTAGCTCAATAGAAAAGCAATAATTGTTTACACAGAAGGACAAAAAGAAGGACGTTGCCAAATGTTGAGAGAAGATAAAAATTAGTGTTAAGCAGCATTGTATGTTTGGGAAATAAAAATAACAGGGGAAGACACTATAATAGATAATAGTGAGATTTATGATATAACAAAAATATGAAGTCAAGGTTTAGGCTTCAAACGTGAAAGACACGGAAAGGCACAAAGAGAAAATGACATTTTGAAAGAAGCAGAAAAATGCAGCAAATGATTAGCGTAGTTATTTATTCAATGTACATAGAAAAGAAACGTATGACAAAAAAAAATTTCTTCGATTAATAATCCTACTTAATAGAAGGGACGGTGATAAACACCTTATAAAAATTGAACATAGAAAAGGATGCATTAGAGCTAGTTTCGCTCAACACCGCACATTGCTACAAAATCAAAACATTGACATGAAAATCGGAGTCAGGTTCTTAAATAGCCTCGTCAGAACGAGGCTTTCATATGAGTATGATCCATGGCGCTAAACCCGTTCAGAAATATCTAAACTCTCAGCCGTATATAACTGCTAAGATAAATGGTTAAAATTGGCTTTGTGAAGTGAAGCCTGTGGGTTCTGATAGGTCTTGAAAGTACCTTGTAGAAAACGAACTGTGAAGGGATGGGTAGAAATATACAGTGTACGATGAATAAATTGTCGTCTAAATTAGCAAAAATGAAAATAACACAGAGACTTCATTTTAACAGATATATTTATCAAAATTATATAAAAATATATTAAGATAGTAAATAGTAAATTTATTCAATAAGACAACTATTGGCTTCAACCGCGTCCTCCAGACGACTTCGGAATCTCCTGGAGCTCTTCTGGGCTGTCTCCTTGTTTAAGTTGGTGAATGCTACCATAATCCTGGCTTTCAGTTCATCTTTGGTGTCACAAGGAGTTTTGTTGGTCTTTCGCTCAACTTCGCCTCACACATAATAATCAAGGAGTTGCAGTCTGGAGAGTTAGGTGGCCATATGTAAGGTGGTCGCAGAAATTTGTCTGACATGCACGACTGGGTTCCCCTAATTGTGTAGCATGGTGCATAATTTTGTTGTGAGACATAGTGTCTTCTAGAAGTCACCCTCTTGACCCAGGGCAGTACTACCTTCTCAAAGCACTTGATGTAGGCCTCCGTGTTGAATCTGAGGCCCTGAGGATGAATGGAGCCATAACGTCGCCATCACTGGTGAGCACTCCAAACACCTTCGTAACAACCAATATACTCGTCCAACTCTTTTTGAATCCTCTGCACTGTCCTCAGCTTGACCCCCTCAAACACTCTTAAATGTTCGTATTGGAGATTCCGGCACGTAGAGCATGTTGTTTTCAAATTTCTGGCGGAGTCATTTGCGGCATAGTCCGATTTTCTCAGAGACGGTACCCAACTGACCCTACTATACTGTGCAATCAACAAAATCAAAAACAAACAACACGCATGCGTAAAATTAAAAATTTAAAATAGCGACAATTTACCCATTGCACTATGCATATAAGGAATATTTAACCCAGCAACGATTTGCAGACGACATTATATTAATATCAAAATAATCAAATGACCTAAATAAGGAAAGGCGTTGCATTAATGTAGGTGTTAAATTCAACAGAAAGAAAACAAATGTTCATTTGAAACATTCGAAAAAATAAAGATATAAAAATAGAAAAAACAAATACAAACAGGAATACATCTATTTCGGAGAGGGATAATATTAAAGGATGTAAGGAAACGGTGTGTTATGATCGGGGAAAGCATTTGTTAAAACATATAATAAAAGTCCCTTTCCAATATACTTAAAACGTCAACCCTATAATAGATGAATAAACCCAATAACGGTACACAAGTGCGAAACACGGAAATGAATAAAAATCAATCAATCAATCAATCAATCAATCAATCAATATATATATATATATATATATATATATATATATATATATATATATATATTCGAATATGTTTGGTTAAAATAATTTACACGTATTATGTTTATTTATTTTAATCTTAATCCTTTCAAGTCC